TTGAATCTGTAAGGCAGAGGTTGCAGTGAGCCAAGATCATGCCACTGCACTGCAGCCTAGGTGACTCCATCTCACACACACACACACACACACACACACACACACACACACACACACACACACACACACGAGACAGGCCCAAGCTTCCCCAAGGCTTGGGGAATTTGGATGTCAGCCCTGGCTCACAAGTCAGGGTCAGACGGGCAACAGGAGTACAGCCTGTGCCACTTAAAACCCCTCAAAGTTCCTCATAATCACCAGGGATGATGGGGAGGACACAGACTTAGAGGCATTGAGTTAACTGGTCTGGGCTGGAGACTGGACACTTGATCTTTCAAAAATTCCCCAAGTGGTTCTATTACAGGAAAGTGGTCCCTATCCAGACCCCAAGAGAGAGTTTTTGGATTTTGTGCAAGAAAGAATTCAGGGCAAGTTTAGAGTGCAAAGCAAAAGCAAGTTTATTAAGAAAGAAGAATAATATTTGGGAGGCTGAGGCAGGAGGATCACAAGGTCAGGAGTTCAAGATCAGTCTGGCCAACATAGTGAAACTCCATCTCTACTAAAAATACAAAAAAATTAGTCAGGTGTGGTGGTGTGTGCCTGTCATCCCAGCTACTCGGGAGGCTGAGGTGGGAGAATCCTGTGAACCCAGGAGGCAGAGGTTGCAGTGCCTTTGCACTCCAGCCTGGGTGACAGTGCAAGACTCCATCTCAGAAAAAAAAAAAGAGAAAGCAGAGGAATAAAAGAATGGCTATTCCATAGACAGAGCAGCCCCAGGGCCCATTTTTATGGTCATTTCTTGATGATATGCTAAACAAGAGGTGGATTATTCATGCCTCCTTTTTTCAGACCATCTAGGGTAACTTCCTGATGTTGCCATGGCATTTATTAACTGTCATGGCGCTTGTGGAAGTGTAGCAGTAAGGACAACCAGAGGTCTCTTCTTGTGGCTATCTTGGTATTGGTGGGACCTGGCCGGCTTCTTTACTGCAAGCTATTTTATCAGCATGGTCTTTATGACCTGTATCTTGTGCCGACCTCCTACCTCATCTTATGACTTAGAGTGCCTTCACTGTCTGGGCATGCAGCCTAGTAGGTCTTAGTCTCATTTTACCCAGCCCCTATTTAAGATGGAGCTGCTCTGGTTTATAGGCCTGACAGTTCTAATGTAATTTGCTTCCACAGGGTGAAAATCACTGGCCTAAACAGCGATTCTTAAAATATTTTTGGGGGAGAGGGAGGCAGAAAATACATAGGAAGCTTGTTCAGTTGCACATGTCTGCCCTCTCTATCAGTATCTTAGTGAGGGGCTGAAACCTGTTTTTATTTTTATTTTGCCACATACCTGGTTTGCTTGTGAATGCCCATAGCTTTAAAAACCTGATTCTGATGATTTCACCTGGCCCTAGAGAAACATTGGTAGGTGAAGCTCAAGAGTCTGTAAGAACATTCTTTACTCTGCAATGCTTAGATATGTATGAAAGAGACTAAGTGCAACATCTGCTTAAGCAGAATAATAATATGAGACCTCTCAGCCAGACTAAATTTCTGGTCCTTTGTGAACACAGTTGGTGTCACTGGCTCTCCCTCCTCACTCCCTCTCCCCCTGCCACCCCACGGAGGTAACCTCCTTTCCAGAATGGGGTCTGTATTGTTAGCAAGCAGGTGGTCCTGGAACCTTCTGGAAAGCCTGGTTCTGGGTCTGGGGAGGGTGGGGCCTACAGGTAGTAGGGTGTGGGGGTTGTGGTGCCTGGGGCAGGGAGGAGGGTCAAGTGACCAGGCTGTGAGCAGGGGAGCCAGGCAGAGCCTGCCACAGCCTCTTTCAGAGGCAGGGGCCAGCGAGGCGTGGGCTAAAGAAGTGCTGGAGAGAAATCCCTGGAGACCAAGTACAATGGAGGCCCAGATGTTCTCAGAAAGGCCAGGCTTTCAACTGTTTTGTTTTTCTAGTCCTGGCTGCTGCTGCTGCCAAATCAACAAGCAGGGGAGTGGAGGGGGGGTTGTGTGCAGGGTTCAGGGCACTGTGATCTGTCTGACAAGAACAAAAAGATGCAACTTGATCTCTCCTTCTTTCTTGGCTAATCGCTTGGGTGAGATTTTCCTTGGGATTACTGTTCTATTATAAACCCAGATGCTTAAAGTGAATCAACCTTTCTTAGAGCATACTAAGTGGGTCAGCAGCGCCCATCATGGTGCCCAGCCTCTGCACGGGTGCCACAGGCGGTGTGGATAATTAAATCCACCCATCCCCATCAGTGTTTCAGTAGGAGAACATTTTCTCTCCCCAGGAGATTTTCAGGAACAAGAGAAAGTGGGAAGTCACACCATTAGGCTGCAGGAGCCACAATGTAAAGGAGAAATACTGGTGTGGAGTGGAGGGGTCAGGGGCAGGAATTTCAGGACCTTGGCCAAGATCTACTAATGGAGTCCAGGTAGAATAAGGCCACCACAATAAAGGCTTAATGCAAGGGCTGGGGCACAGGGACAATTACAATCGTGCTTAGGGCATGGATATAACAAAGTGTCAGTTTAACACCAGCTGCCAAGGTGGCTTAGAGTTAGGTCTCTTAAATTCCCTACAACTAGGGCCTGACATGGACCGGGGCTCCTGAGGCAGCCTAAACCTGCAGAAATGGGAGATCTGGGGCCTTTCATCACACAGGAGCCTTTAGATGTTTTCTGGAGGCAGCTGCTCGTGTGGATGAGAAGCAGAAAAGATCAAGAGTTGCCCACCACCTTGCATTAAGACATGTGTACAGAGCTCTTCATCAGCTGTAAAGAGCTGATGGCTCTCAGGGGAAAAGCAGTCACTCTTATCTAATGAGGCCTCAGCAGATGACGATGTGAAAAATGAGACAAAGGAGGCCAGTCTGCCCTCCGTGAGGCTATTAGACAGCATAGTGACAGTATGGCACCTGACCCTGCCCTAAAGGACTCCCCAAAACAGGGACAGTAACTAGGAAGGTGCATTTTTAGTGCAAGGCCTGAGCATACCACAGAATGGACCCCAGCATGGACTGGCGATGTCAATGTTAAAAACTGTGGCCTCTCTTACGCTACTGCTGGGAGCATAAATTGTTACAACCAGCCTGGAAAACTATTTGGCATTACCTATTAAAGCTGAACATACGTGTACCCTATGGACCCTGCAATTCCATTCCTAGGAGTAGATGCCCAACAAAATGTATACAGGCATGTTTGCTGAAGACATGTACAAGAACATGTTCATAGTGACAATGTTTGTAACAGCCTCAAACAACCAATGACCCAAATACCCACTGACAGATAGTTGCTATGTGGTATATTATGCAGTGGAATAGTATTAAGCAATGAAAGTGAATGAATTTGTCAATTTCTGAGCAAAAGAAGCCAATGCAAAGGTTCATACTGCTTCATTTCATCTACATAGACAGACAAAACCAAGCTGTAATAAATATACCAAAACCATTGACTTATACACTTTAAATACGTGAATTGTATGACATGTGAATTATATCTCAATGAAGCTGTTATTTTAAAAAGCCCATTAGAAGTCAGGATAGTGGTTATCCCTGGTGGGGACCTGTGACTGGAGGAGCTTCTGGGTGCTGGTAAAATTTGGTGTCTTGACTTGGGAGCTGGTTACAAGTGTATTCAACTGTGGCAATTCTGTGTACTTAAAATTTCTGCACTTCTCTGTATATACGCTATACTTCAGTGAAAATGACAATAACCACAGGCCTTGCCCCCTGGCCCGGTGCATGAGGATGGTGAGCTAGATATGTCACTTACTTCAGAAAGGTCCCGACTGTCACCAGGCAACCTGCAAGAGGACCCTGAGTTTATGAGGATAGGGCTCCCCATTTCATAATCAAAACATCATTTGCAGGGTCTGGGGGAATTCTCAGAAGCAGGGAGGGTCTGCCTACCACCTCTCTTCCCTGGGCTTGGCTAGGGTGAGCAGGTGTTGCCCTGATGCCAGAGGATTAGGCCAGGGAGCATCCTTGCCTCAACACAGCTGGGCAATGGCTACTGTGACTCCACATAGTCCAGCCTTCCCAGGGTCTGGTCTGCAGCCCCTAGATTGGGAAGGGGGCATGTCCTCAAGGACACCTTAAGGGCCATCTGCCTGAGGTGGGGATGGCCTTTCAAGCTGTGTTCCCAGGACTGGGCTCTGCCTGCACACTTACAAGACAGCTACTCTAGTTCCAGGTCAGTCCAGACTCTGGGACAGCAGAGGAAAATGGTCAGGTCTTGCCCTCAAGGAGCCCACAGTTTGATGTCCGGGAAGAGGCCAGCATGAGATAGAAAATCACAAGGAAGAGGGATGACAGCAATGACAGAGGTTTCTGGAGCACGTAGGAAGGGCAAAAAAGCCCATTCATGGCTCTTTTTGCAGAATGTAGTCTGCTCCTAGTTTTTCTTCTGAATTTTTGTATTCGGCATTTAGGAACTTACAGTAGCTCAGGTCCAGCTCAGTAAGTGTTAAATATTGTCCAGGGTAACTCACTCTGAAAAGAGAACCCACCACCAGCAATTTTCCAGTTGTTTTTTTAAAATAACAAACAAGCTACGGGAGGTAATAGAAGCTGTCTCATCATCTAGAAGAGGCATATTTGTCTTTTAGTCTTAGGGGATTTAATTCAGTTTATCATAATAAAGATGTCCATCAGACCAACCCACTCCCCGACACAATAACAACCACCAGCTTATTCTCTTCTTCCTCTAGCTTTGTATTACATCACATAAAAATATAAAAACAAAATTGGTTCTCAGTCTGGGTACTTGGGTAAATGATATGATTAGCAAAACAGGCCTATATGCCTTCTTTTCTGTAATTATGGAAATCTGTGACATGAAGCTGGAAAGCCCTATTCCAGTTGCTATAGTGGCCGCTGACACACCCTTCTTCTGCCAGCAATACCCTGGGAGCACCTGGTTCACACGAGTCTAGTCCGGAGCAGCCCCAGAAGCAGAATGAAAGAGCCAAAGAGGAAGCCACCTTTGGCAAACAGGAGCATTACCTTGGTCCCATGGTAGAAGTCGTCCACGCACGTGGCATTCATGAAGGTCTGGTGGAAGTGGGTGCTGGTGTCAATGCCACCTGGGATCACCAGTTTTCCTGTGGCATCAATCACCTTGGCCCCGCCAGGGATCATGAGCTCGCGGCCCACCTGCTGGATGATGCCATTCTCAATGTAGACGTCAGCCTCGTGGGTGCAGTCATCATTTACCACCTTGCCTCCCTTGATGAGGATCCTCACACTGGCTGAGTTGGCAAGCATGTTCCTAAAAGAAGGTGAGCACGGTCAAGGTCAAAGTCCTTTCTCACTGTTTCCAGGGCCCCATCCCTCCTATCAGAGCCCAAACTCCATGGTCAGGGTAAGTAAGCAGAGAAGAGGACGTTTCCCCTATAGCCAGCAGGAGTCACAAGCCTCCCACTGGCTTCCCAGAGGGACTTATTAGGAATCTGGACACAGTGGCAGTTAAGGGAGAAGCTGGGGCCTATAGAAACATCATTTTTTTTACTTTCCCAAAAGGCTGTGAGTCCCAAAGCATTTTTACATCTACTATCTCATTTTATCCTCAAAACAACCCAAGGAGTCACATTTTACAGATGAGAAAGCAGAAATTACTAAGGAATTTATGGCTATCAAGCAGCCAAGTCGAACCCACATGTCTTATACAACCAATGTCTCCCTTACACTGCATGGTATCCTGAAAACACCAGTGCCTCCGGGGGTGTCTCTCAGAGCTGAACTCTCCAAGCCTCACAGCTGTTTAATTCATGACATTCCTCAGATGGATTCTACTTCCTTCACGCTTCTATGTTGGCTTCAAGAAGTCCAGAACCAACACTTAGTTCCACAGCTAGCTGCATATTAAGCTCACCTGGGTAGCTTTTGACAACTACCTATGCCCAAGCCCCACCCCCAGAGATTCAGGTTTATTTGGGCCAGATTGTGTCCCCAGCATCAACAGTTTTTAAAAGCTGGAGAACTCTTCCAAACATTTAAAGAAGAATTAATACCAATCTCATCCAGAAAATGGAAGAGAAGGAAACCCTTCCAAATTCATTTTATGAAGCCAATATTGACCTGATACCAAAAACCAAAGACACTACAAAAAGAAAACTACAGAGCAATATCTTTCATTAATATAGATATTAAAAAATTTTAACAAAATATTTGCAAATAGAATTCAGCAACACATAAAAAGCATTAGACATCACATAAATAGGGTTTATTCAAAAAATGCAAGGCTGGTTCAATATTTGAAAAACAATCAATGTAATCCACCATCTTAGTAAGCTAAGGAAGAAAAAAATTACAAAATCATATCAACTGATGGAGAAAAAGCATTTGACAAAATTCAAAACCCATTCATGATAAAAACTCTCAGAAAAGTAGGGAGTGAGGGTAGCTTCCTCAACTTGATAAAGAACATCTACAAAAAACCTACAGCTAACATCAGATTTAATGGCAAATGGCTAAATACTTCCCCTTACAATTCAGAATGAGGCAAGGATGTCTACTTTTGCCACTGCTAGTCAACATAGGTTATTCTAGCCAGCACTATAATAAAACAAAATGAAAAAAAAAATGGCATATAGATTGAAAAGGAAAAAACATAACTGTCCCTAGTTGCAGATGACATGATGATCCAGATAAAAATATCCCAAGGAATCTACCAAAAAAAATCTCCTAGAACAAATAAATCAGTTTAGCAAGGTCACAAGTTAAAAGATCAATGTACAAAAGGCTACTTTTTTCTATACACTAGCAATGAGCACATGGACACTCAGAAAAAGTGAAATAGACATAAACCTTAAGAAAACATATATAGGAACAGAAGACAAAAGCAAAGATAGACAAATGGGATTGCATCAAACTAAAAAGTTTCTATACAACAAAGGAAACAATCAACAGCAAAGAGAAAACCTATAGAATGAGAGAAAATATTTGTTAACTACACATCTGAGAAGAGGTTAATATCTAAAATAAATAATTGAAAGACCCCAACAGCAAGAAAACAACTCAATTTAAAAATGGGCAAAAAAACCTGAATAGACATTTATCAGAAGACATACAAATGGCCAATAGATTTATCAAAAAATGTTCAATATCACTAATCATCAGGGAAGTACAAGTCAAAATGACAATGAGATCATCACTTCACACCTGTCAGAATAACTATTTTCAAAAAGATGAAAGATAGCAAGTGTTGGCAAGGATGTGGAGAAAAGGGAACCCTTGTACACTGTTGGTGGAAATGTAAATTAGTACATTATGGAAATCAGTATAGAGATTCCTTAAAAACTTAAAAATAGAACTACCATATGATCCAGCAATCCCACTACTGGGTATATATCCAAGGGAAATGAAATCAGTATGTCAAGGAGATATCTGCATTTCCTTGTTTACTGCAGTATTATTCACAATAGCCAATATATGGAATCAACCTAAGTGTCCATCAAAGGATGAATGGATGAAAAAAATGTATATATACACAATAGAATACTGCTCAGCCATAAAAAAGGGGGAAGCCCTGTCCTGTGTAACAACTTGGATAAATCTGGAGAACATTAGGTTAAGTAAAATAAGCCAGGCACAGAAAGATAAATACCACATGCTCTTACTCCTAGGTGGAATCAAAAAAAGTTGATCCATAGAAGTAGAGAACAGAATGATGGTTACCAGTGCCTGGAGTGACTGGGGTAGAAAGGAGTTGGGGAAATGTTGGTCAAAGGATATAAAATTTCAGTTAGATAAGTTCAAGAGATCTATTGTACAGTATGGTGACTATAGTTAATAATAACATTGTATTCTTGAAAAATGTTTTGATGGTGGATATCAAGTGTTCTAACCTCTCATTATATGAGGTAATGCATATGTTAATAAACTGGAGTTAGTCATTCCACAATGCATATGTGCTTTAAAACATCATCTTGTACACAACAAATACATACAACTTTATCTGTCAATATTAAAAAAAAAAGAAAAAAACACATATAGGACTTGTTTGCTGAAAACTACAAAATGTCAACGAAATAAATCAAAGACAATCTAAGTAAGTGGAGAAACATACCATGTTCATGGATTGGAAGACTCAACATAGTCTCAGTTCTTCCCAAATTGACATACATGTTTAATGCAATTCCTGTTAAAATCCCAGCAAAAATCTATTGTATATTATTTTCAAAATGTATGTTGATTGGCAAAGGAACAAGAACAGCTAAAGCAACTTTCACAAAGAATAAAGTCAGAGGAATCAGTCTACTTGATTCCAAGACTTATTATGTAGCTATAGTAATCAAGACTGCATGATCTTGACAGCTATGGTAAACTGATTTTTGACAAAGATGCAAAAGCAATTCAATGAAGAGAAGACAGTCTTTTCAATAAATAATGTTGGATATCCACAGGCCAAAACCCAGCCTCAATTTAAACCTAAAATCTTATGTAAAAATTGACTCAAAATGGATAATGCATAAAGTAGCTGCATTTGACACCACTGACTACTCCTGCCTCTGCAGAGCTCCCTTCTCTTAGCATTTTAAATGTGGCCATGCGGTGAAGTGGGGCAAGGACCACAGAAGATCTTGACCTCTGCTTTGGAAATCAGTGAGTCTTTGATGAACTCTTATTGAAAACAAGTTTGTGGAAACTGCATATATGGCCATCAAGATCTCTGTGAGTAAAGAAAGCCTAGAAATGGCCCAAGGAGGATGGCTGAGGGAAAGTATCAATTTTAGAACTAATATTTTTCAGGAAATGAAGAAGGAGCCGAGAGAGATTAAAATTATAAGAGATTAAGGGACTATTTATGATGTGAACTCCTGAAGGAGGTAGCATAGAATGGCGACCATCATTAACAGAAGGCCTCAACAAACAAGGCCCTCACTTGTCAATTTACATGGCTTGCTTAATTAGATCCCTCCAACAGTCCTGTGGGGAAGGTATTATTACCGCCACCTCACAAAAGAGGAAAGATATACAGAGAGGTTAAGATCAAAGGCTTGTAGGAGGAGGAGATGTGCAGGTGCAAAAGAGATAGGCATACAAGTGAGTTTGCATTCTCTCTGCTCTGCAAAGCTGGGGGCTCAGAGCTCGTGGGAACAGTACAGAGTGAGTGGATTTGAGGAGAATGTGGATGTGGTGAAGCCGCTACAGGGACCCGAGAAGTGAAATGGGGTGCACATAGGAAATGGGGCCAGTGCTGAGGGCAGTTTAGATAGCCGTAGTCATGGTGAGTTGCTTAAAATTACATCCAGGGGCTCACTTTGGTTAGTATCCAAAATAAATAAGAAATTATAATAAGGATTTGTTTATAACATAAATGATATAATTGTATAAAACCATTATATTTATAATGTTATTTATAATAAGGATTTATAATAATAATGATATGCAACTCTCTTGACCCTTAGGTATCTGAAGAGAAAATATTTACATTTAGGCTTAGAAAATATAGGACAAACTCTGACCAGCAGTATGCCATTGCAGTATGTCCCTGAGGTCAAATAAAGCCCACTTTTATATGCAGTAAATTTCTCATTCTTCAGGGCCTCATTGTCCTCTTTTCTGAAAGGTTTTCTCTGACTCTCTTTGTGCCTTCACTAGATCGATTGCCTTCAGGGCACTAGGTTCTCTCTCCACCTGTGGAGTAGGGTCCGCAAAGGCAGTCCTATCAGTCGTCTTTTTATCTGCCCACTCACCTGAAGCTTCCAGTACAGAATACTCAAAACTGGTGAATATATGAAATAGCTCCATCTACTTGTTGCACTCTAACACAATCAAAATGGTTTAAAGCAGTGAGAAGCAGATGAATTCCATACTTATTTTCCGGGATGTTTGGCAACTCTATGTCTAGGATAAGGCTCAGTTTTCCTAACACAGCTAATTACAGTGAACAGAACAAAGGAAGCAACATATTTTCTCTCATCCTCATCATTTAACTTTGTCTTGCCACCAGGCAAGTTCTGGGAAGGCTGTGTCCAGGACAAAAAGGCTTTGGGGAGCTATTAAAGGAGTACCTCTTGTAAGCACACATGTCAGATATTTGGAGATCATAGCTGTTCTCCTGGATACAGTTGGCTTATTTTTTGTCAAGTTGGCCAGGCTCAAGTGCATGGAATCTCAACAACAAAGAAGAAAGCTTATACGGAGCCTCAACTACCAAGTTCTCCTGATGTAAGGAAAGTATGGCCCTTGGAGGCTGCTGCCTGAGGGAGTGCTGGGAAACAAGGCAGGTGGCTGGGAGTGACAATTGCGCTCCAGGAACATCTG